TTATTATATATATATATATATGTATATATATATATATATATATAATATTGATATATGATATATATATATGATACATATGATATGATTATCATAATCATTATTAAAACAATATACACTACTAATAATAATTAATAATAATAATAATAATAATATAATAATAATAATAATAATAATAATAATAATAATAATAATATAATAATAATAATAATGATAATATAATAATAATGATAAGAATAACGATAATGAAGATAATCATAACAACAATAGCAGCAACAGCAATAACGGTGATAAACGACATTGCAAATGAAGTTAATCCCAACAGTAATATCAATATCATTAAACGTGCCAGGAAGAGTATTTATAAATTCTAAATCGAAATGCAGTTGCCAAACATCATCGTTGCACATTCGTCCACATCCATCTCCACTGCACACCATCCACTGTCACCATCTCACACATCTATTACACTCTATCCACACTCCACATAGTTCTTGTCACCATCACCACCAACACCATCACACATCTATTACACTCTATCCACACTCCACATAGTTCTTGTCACCACTCTATTCCACTCTACACTCACATAGTTTCTGCCACTATCACACCACCTTCACACATCTATTACACTCTATCCACACTCCAGATAATCCCTGTCACCATTAACAATACAAGTAACACCATCTCAACTTTCCATATATTTCAAAAGACCACAAAACACCATAAACTAAATCCCCATTAACAATCACCATCCCCATTACCCCTTACAACCATCCCAAACACCATACACCATTACCCAAGATCACTATCACTGTTATCAGCCTCCCACACCATAAAACGGGAACCATTTCATCCATCTACTTAATATTCATACTCTGCCGTATAAAAGAAATGATGAAATGTACAGTGATGAACGCCCCCGTGTGATGTTCTCTCGCAGAATATTAATGACCGAGAGAGAGGAAAAGAAAAGAATGATGTCTTAATTCGATGAGAATCAGATGTTTATTATAATGAATCACGTGATGTCGTGAGTTTTAATGTGATTGTAATATATTCATCCTAATTAATCATGTGATCCAATACGCGTTTTAATGTGTTTATAATAGGATTTATGTTGATTGGTCGTGTGTTGCAATACCACGATAGGGTTGTTGCAATACCTCTTATAATTAATCATATATGATTATTTCTTATATATTGAATATTTCTTATAATTATATATTTATATATTGAATATTTCTTATAATCAATCATGATGCAACTGAGATTTTTTTCGATTTGATCAGAATACATACATTGCATTTGATCGCATGTTCTTATAATCCAAATAGTACTTTTTGAAGAGAACTTAATAAATATAAATAATTATGTATGTGCTTCTAAATACTAATCATATTTTCTTGTTTGGGCATTTTCTTTCCATAACATTGTTTTCCTCCTCGAAATTTTATTTATCTTATTATCATCAATACTATTATCATTGTTATCATTACAGTTATTATGATAATTATCATCAATATTACTATCATTATGATTATCATTATCATTTATTATCACCATCATTATTATTGTTTTTATTACTAATATGATTGTACTTATCGTTATCATAATATTATCAACAATTTATCATTACTGTTATTACCATTATTATTATCCTTACTCCAGCATCATTATCGTTATAATTGGTATTGTTGTCGTTATTATATTATATAATTTTATTGTTGTTGCTGCTATTGTTATTATCTTTATCATTGCTATTGTCATTATTTTATTGTAATCCTCATTATCATTAAAATTATTACTATAATCTGTTGGATAATAGTACTATAATTATTCATAAACATCTACTCCTTATTCATCTATTTCTTTTTCTATTCCTTATTATTCATATTCATCACCTTCTTCTCTTCCTTCAAGTTCCTCTATTTCTTCTCTTTCTCCTATTCCTTCTCGTTTCCCTCCTTCACCTTTCCTTCCTTTTTCTTTTTGTGTATTTTCATTTCTATTTTCTACTACTTTCCTTTCCCTTCTTTCCTTCTTTCATATTTTCCCTTTTCCTTCTTCTCCTTCTCCTACTCCTATCCCCTATCTTCTTATTCTTCCCTTTCATCCACCTTCTTCTCCTTCCCCTTCTTCTTCTTCCTCGATTTCTTACTGAATCTCGCCTTCGCTCGTTCAGATTTGTCTACACTAACTACCTAATTACTAATTACAATTGTTTTTGACATATTTCTTGTTTTTTTCGCGTAATGATAACAGTAACAATGGCGTTGGCTTTGGTGGTGATTTGATTAATGATGATCTATAATCAACTGTAATTAGTAAAAATAGTAATGATTTTATTATTACTATTATCATTATCGTTATCAGTATCATTATTATTACTATTACTTACTCTCATTATATTATTATTATCAATTATTATTATCACTCATTATTATTATTATTATATATTATTATTATTATTATTATTATAACATTATTATTATTATTTATCATTATCATTATCATTATCATTATTATTATTATATTATTATGATTATTATTATTATTAATTATCATATATCATCATTATTATTGTTTTAATTATCATCATTGTATTATTATCAGTAGAGTCATTATCACTTATTA